ATGTGTGCATGTATGTATGTACCTGTGTAAAGATATATATATATATATAAATATCTGCACCATCAGGATATCTTGGGGCACCACCGCATTCACCTGCCGAGCCATGTCACAAAACTCTGCCAGGGTGCACCTTGAACATTGGTACTTCTTCTTCGTCATCCTGACCACGGACGACGGGGTGCATTGAATGAACGCCTGATTTGTCGCAACAGCGCCTGAGTCTCGCAAGTCGCTCAACCCACAAGCCCTCACCCAAACGAATTCAGCTCGCCCAGCCTCACCGATGGATATCAATTGCCGTCGAAGCGATGCCATGCCGCCGGATGATGACCAACAGCTGTTGACTTGCGCCGTGACTTCAGCAACTCTTTCAGTTGCATGTGGAGTCCGTGGTCACGTGGTGCTGTGCCGAGTGATTTGGTGGAAATAACGTCGGCTCTCGCTGGCGGCAGTGCTGACGAACAGTTGAATCGTTAATATGACTTCGCACAGTTGGCAAACTTACGCCATTGTCCCGCGAAGTGACCAAGTAGAAGTCGTGAGCTTTGGAGTGTGGCGCTCTATCAATGCAGAACTGGCATGTGACTGACTGCTCCTCGGCCGCATATTATGCTATCTGCGGAGGAAGGCAATGGATGAATTCGTTTTCGGAAACCTTCTGACCTGGGGTGAGGAGCTCTCGTACAGAGTCGAAAACGGTTCTTTGGAGCTTGCATGCTAGCTGGCCAGAAAAAACTCTCCGAGCAAACACACCCGTGCGGCCGGAAGCAAGCTGTGCTCCCGACATGTCTGTTGTGTTGAGCCTGGCGAGCTCAGCATAGATGTGCAGAGCTTTGCAGCGTTACTCGCCTCCATCGGGTTCTCCGAAAACGAAGGTCCGGAAGTCGGCTGAAGTCCTGCGAACATGGATGCGCTTAACCCGACTGGTGGATAGAAGAAGACGGGACTGATCGAAGAGAGATCCAGAAATCCATTCGAATCCCGTCCACCCCCTCACAGTGCACACCTTGACGGGGCTAACAACATGCATTGCTTTCCCGGGCCAGGCAAGATCTGGCCGTATCGCAGACTTTTTCATTCTGCCACAGCGTCGAGCAGTGGTCGCAGGGGAGAGTTTCCATGTCGATGACAATCAGTCTACAACTGTTCTTTCGACATCTACTGTCTACCACGATGTCACTGTTAAGCATCATGGGGCACGAAATTCAAACTCCCCTCCACGGCGGCGCTCATCGTGGTGGGCCCGTCCATTGGATCTTGCGGATGCGGTCCCGGATCTGTGACCAGCTTTGCAAGTCTGGGGTGCAGATGGTGCAGCCCATACGGCTTTGGGATGGGAATCCTGGTCCTACTCATGAAGAGCAAGGATGGAAATGTACCTCACATCCCCGACAGTGCGCGGGATACGTATGCAAACTCATGGCAGGATATGCAGGATCACGGGGTAACATGAGCATGCGTGCCTGTAAACTGCTAGATAGATTCGTGGTCCAAGCCTCGCCAACCATCCGTTGTGGCACACACAGCGTGGACGTCATTAACTGAAGCCCGAACTCCTTCGGGTCAGCACCTTGGCATGTCATCTCGGTGCTGCTTCAGTATTGCGTAAACACCGACGCCATCCAACGCCCCGGCACAACTCGTGAAATGTTAATGGGGGGAAGCAGGGCGCAAATGTAGGAGATGGGGAATCTGCTAATCTGGGCTCTTGCCGGTTAGATTCATTCGCAGCAACAGATGCCGCAGCTAATGCATCGATGTGCCAAAGATTAGCTACAATTGGTGCCGCCAAGGCGCACCAGTACGAGTGCAAATCTGAGAGGAGTCGCATCACTCGGGTCGGCGGCGGCTTGTCGGATTCTGAATCCTGTTCTGTCACTTGACATTTTGCGGGCGAACGTCAGTCTGAGCCGAGCGGGGAAGTGTCCTCGACGTAAATAAGGGGCTGGTGAGCACGGATAGTCGCACCGGCTCCGAGCAGCATATCCTCGGGTGTTTTCGGCAGGGCACGACCCTAACAGCGGCAGTTGGCCTTGAGTTTGCACAGCCAACCTCTCTCGTCCAGTGTGCTCATAGAATCGAGTCTCATACTCGCCACTTTCGACATCGATCTTCATGACCTTGGCCCGGGCTATGGAAAACAAATCACTTGAACCCTCAATGCTTTCGTCAGGCGCGACGCATCCAGTCTGTCCAGTTTCAGCTTGTCGTCGAGACGGACTACGCTGACCTTCGTCAGTCGGGCTACACTCTTGTCTCTAGCTCGGCAGATGCAACAAGTGACTTCCATCCGTCGAATCTCAGGTCTGCTTCACGTAGCAGCTGCTGACAGATGCTGTCGGCTGACCGTCTCGCTCCGCCCCCGGCTATCGTGGTGGACGAGCAGCCTGGAATGGAAAAAGGGAAGAAGAGCTGTCCACAAGACGCGGCTCATTAAAACCGGAGTGGAGCTTAAAGGGTTTCCTGTTGTGGAGTTATCTTGGCCTGGCTGGAGGAAGGTAGCAATGTTAGCAATGCAAGGTTCAAACAATTTCCATCTGGATGGCCGGCAATCCACTCACGACCGGTGTGCAAGCAAGCTATCATCGGTCAGTCCCTAAGATGTCTTCGAGAACATCTGAACTTTCATCGAGAAGTCAGTGTCAAAGTTCCTACAACGTGCTTCAACTCTGCAGCACATCGCAGGGCACAACAAGAGTTTGGCTGCAACTTTAGCGCAATGCGGAGTTCAGTAGCAGCAGCACCCGTGCATAAATGAAGCCGGCGTTCCCGAGCTACCAAGACTTTGCAGAATGTTCGCTGCCCAGGAGCTCTGACGCGATTTCGTCCACAACAAAGGACTTTGACCTCAGGTCCAGGCCCAGTCATGCCCAGTCCGTCCGCTGTGCACAATTCTCGGGTGATGGCGAGATTGCCACAGATATGGAAGAAACGTCACTGGCAAAACATTTGCAAGTGTACAAGACCAAGCAGTGGAACAACTGCAGAGCAACTGAAGAGCCAATGTGAAGTAGGCCTAGCCCTGGGTGCGAGGCGGATTGCCGACAGCGCCAAGGCCTGGCCTTGGAAAACCCAGCTGTATTTCCAAGTAAACTTCTCCCTGCGAAAGGCTCCATATCCGTGAATGCGTTGAAAACATGGGACTGCACTGGGAGTGGCCATGCCAGAGACACGTCCGCCAAGCGGATGGTAAGGCCTGGACATTGGTCGGCGGCGCTGCTCTGTTGCGTTTCCTGTCAGACGTGTTCTCGGGTCCCTTTGCTTAGCCTTCAGGGACGCCGCTCGGCTTTGATCGGCCAGTGCACAGGCCAGGAAAATGAAGGCAAGATGGCAATCCACATTCGCAGTCCCAGCACGATCAAGTGCAAGCAGTCCAGCCTAAGGCATTGTGGTAGGTAAAACAGCTGAGCAGGCCGTTGATGGCGCCTGTGCTGCTAAACAACTTTAATTGCACTCAAGCACCAGACTCCTAAACCTCATTAATTACTTATCAATACATATTCGAGTAACAACGGCGGCGCCTATTCTCAGCTGAAAATTACATCTGGATGGTCGAAATCTCGATTATGCCCTACAGTCTTTGTTTGGCCATGGCGCAATTCGCGGTCAACACCTGAAAGATGTTCCGGAAAGGCTCGAAGGCATGGACCTGCGTGTTAATCACGGCATCGCTCGCAGTGCGGATATTTCGCCTATAAGACTTAAATAAACTCCCAGTCCACTGAGTACGAAAGCCTGGCCATCGGGGCCAACGTGCTTGGACAGCGGAAGCGCGAAGCCGCCAATGTTTGCCTGGGCCGATGCCAGGAACTTTGGGTCGCGGCCAGCAATACCCGGCCTTGGACGGGCTGCCTCCGCTATTGCAGTCTGCAGTCCCCCCAAGTCTCTGGGGCCTATCTCTTACTTGCAGTCTAAGAGTCTAGAGCCGTGAATGGAGGCAGAAGTGATTTGTGACTTCGCTTTGCTTTATCTGTACCTGCTCTGCTTACGGAGGCTTTCGACCATTTTGGCTTGACTTCAGCAGCAGGGGAGGGGGGTCCACGCCACGAAAGTTAAACCCAAAAAGGCGCAAAGGCTGAACAGTCAGGCAGCCAACCAAACCAGAAAAGCAATAGCTCAAATGCGGCTCCGTTTAAGTTGATGCACAGTGGCCACATACCGTCCCCAAGTTCAGTCCGAGCATCTCCGGCGTCCACTGCGACCCCACCTACAGGCAGAAATGCCTCGGCAGATCAGGTTTCCCCGGCTACAGGTATGCTTCGGGCGAGTTTGCAGATTTCTTGGCAAGTAGCTTTGAGCAAGTCCACCTCTGGCTGCATCCAGCGGCCCTCGCTGATGAGTTGGTCCCCCACCGTCATATCCTGTCGAGAAGCGGTGATTTGAGTCGCGAGATGTCACGACTATATGTCTTTATGTGCAAGTGTTGTTGAACAGCATCGCAGCGAATCAGAAGCAAATTCCCAGCTCGGTGGACGATGTGAATGCTTCGTTAGGCGCAGAACTCCAAATTTGCAGAGCGGCGAAGGCCGTGGCCAGCACTGAGAAGTCTCGCCCTGGCGAGCGTGGTCGCAGTACTGTCGGGAAGTGCGCCTCGGCATATGATCAGAGGCTCGCCTTCTTCCAACTCTTCTTGCATTGCTGGCATGTGGCCTTGAGAGACGCTCAGACCCTATCATCTGCGGCAAGCTTCCCACGACGGGAAAGGCATTGGCAGGCTTGGGCCCTGTTGGCCATCGTGCAGAAATTGGACCTATCGTATTCGCTCTGATCAGCCAAAGATCTCCGCCAACGATAGCGCTGGCACCGCCGCCCTCGTCCAGAGTCTTTGCGAAAGCCTGGGCAGTGTAAGGGCTTCAGGGGCTCAAATGTAAAAACTTCTGGACGCCACCGGTGGATTGACTAGCAAAGCTTCCACTGCCAAGCAGCGCAACTAGGACAGCTGGCACTCGGGGCTGGCCGAAGCTGCTCCGCCCGCACCTTGGAACAAGGCCCAGGTTCCAGTTTCTTAGCTTGCCGTGCGCTTTACATTTCAATGCCTTTGCTCTGAAAGCCTCCGGACCACGACTTTTTCCTCACAAAAGAGCGGTCGCTTCTCCATGCATCTTGCTTTTCTCCAGGAAGAGGACGTATGCACCATCATTGAGCGCCTCATCTCCGATCCTGTCAAGCCGACTTCGGGTTTGAGATGCCAAGGTGTTGCTGATGGCTGCCACTTCGTGCAAACCATCAACGACAAGGCCTGCCGTGACTCCCTGCTCCCTGAGATATTACTCGCTGCATTAACATCCATCTCTAGCCCGACTACGTAAACCCCGACTTCGTGGCGGAATCGCCACCGGACAGGGGAACCAAGGCAACTGTGCAAGCTTCGTGCTGTCCTGCTCGCGTCCACTCGCCGGACACTGGAATCGTCAAAACACCACCAAGAGCGGGATGGCGGATGCCAGCAATACCTGTGGGACTGATGTAAGCCTGCTGAACAAGTAGTACAGATAAGCTGTGATTTGCCACCTCATGTGGGCCGAGGCACGCCACGTAGTGGCCAGAGAAGGGAGTGGCACCCAAATGCTGCACGACGGCATATAGCTCGTAAGTCGTGTCATTCTGCTTCGCCCCCTCTTCCAGCATGCATGACACATCCAAAGGCTTTAATCCTCTCGGATTGTCCGGGTCGGCTTCAAGCTCTACTCGAGTGGAAATCCTCAGAGCTGGTGACCCAGCAAATACGACAAACGCATGCTCAGCGCTCTGAAGATTGCTGAAGCCCTGGCTTGGAGCACTGAAGGCCGCAGTCAGCGAAGCTGCGCGCCCCTCTCCCAAAGCTGGGAAGTCTGCCTCCCCAGCCTTAGCCAAGCAGTTCCCTGCAGCTCTCTTGCTGGAGATGCAGACACATGCGGCTATGGAGCGTCTTAATGGTGGCCCTGTGTCCCCGGTGGGCAAGCGCCTGTCAGCTGCAGTGCTTCTTGCTCAACCATTCACAGGGTCACGACATTGAGACTCAAGACGGCTGAAAATGAACCCGTGAAGCTGCATCCTATTGAAAAGATGAAAGAGCTTTCGCTCAGAGACTCGCTCGAAATATTGAAACTTCCCTCTGTTGTCTTGACAAGCTCGTCCGTTTCACCACAGCGGGTCAGCATTTTCAGGTTACAGGTCCTTGTGCGTCACTGTGCCGGCGTTCTCGGTCCGTGGCCTTTGGCGCTCTGCCTCAATGCGGGCATCACGCTCGCGGCGGAAGTTGGCGTCGCGCTCCTCGCTACTGAATCACAGTGAAAGACATGAACTGAAGAGCAGGGAACATTAACATGGGCGGCTGCTAACATCGGCTATATACCAGGCTCTTTTGTCTTGAGCCAGACATCAGACCCTTGTTGATTCCTGTGTGCTAGGATCCCTTTACACTGCCCGCGAAATCTCCGCGCAGAAGCTCTGCACCGAACGGCCGAGTGTCCTGGAGAGCATGCGCCTGAAGCTCGGCATGGCGAGAGGCGACGAGCTCCGGCCCCAGTGCCGCTGCATCGGCCTGGAAACCTGCTGCAAAAGCTGATCTGAAGGAACTGTTGTCGTCCCTTAGGACCGCTGTGGCTCATCAGCCTGGAAGACCCTGCAAGTCGTGCTTCACGTGGCAAACGTCGCGATTGTACCCCCTTTGTACTGAAACCTCTCCCCATGCTCTCACTACGTCCCGAGCTGCTTTGCAATCGCAATCGACTGTGCATTCCCCACTCACAGTCCCGAGTGCGCGGCTACGTGCAACAACTTCACCATCAAGGGGTTTCCTACCAATCATCTCCAAAGTCTCCGACCTTCCTAAAGTCCTAAAGATCTCTAGCAGAGCTCTCAATGATTTAAGCTTGGCAGCGGTCGCCAACTGGCTGGAAGCCGGCCCACTGCAACAGCTCTTGGCCCCCGTCCACCTTGATAGTCAACATGTTAGTTGGGGTTTGTTTGGCTCTGTGTGTGTGTGTGAGACAGCTTTCTTAACGAGCTACTCGTGCTACAATATTGTGCCGCCTGGATGTGGGCACGTCCGAAAATCGTGTCCTGGCAATTCGCGAAACACTTGCAGCCAAGGCGGCTTCAAGAACATCTGAGCGGAGGCTTTTGGCAGTGGCGCTGATCGAACGCAGTTTGGCATCACAGGGTGAATCTCGAATCCGCTCCAAGACTCTCAGCAGCAAGCCGTAAAGCCTGAGGGCTGTCAGCTCTACTTCCTCACACTGGCGGTAGTTAAACCCTTGCATACCCCGGCTAAGAGGTGCCCAGCATCTTCTCTTGTTGCTCCCACGAAAGCCTGGCAGTCCTGAGTTCCAGGCGGAACTGAGGCGTAAGGGTATTTGAGTCAACGTGTGTGTGTGTGTGTGTCTGTGTTTGTTTGACTTAGGGATGGCCCAATACATGCAGGTGCCACGTATTTTGCTTTTAACCAAGAAGCCGCTGCAACGGCGTCATGTCTGCCAGATCTGCGGTGTTTGGGACGGCAGCTGCAGCTTCTGACAGTGGCAGTGAAGGGCAAACGGCACAAGCCACAAGAGCAAAGAACCAAGCAATACGCAATGTGCATCAGGGCTTGCATTCCCTTTTGCCTGTTTGCTCATCTTCTGCGTGTTCTACACGAGCCACTGGCTCGGAAGCTTTGGCGACCTGGTCGCACGGGACTGTGCAAGAGCCATGCGCAAATCACGGTATGAATGGACATGGTGCAGGGTTTGGCCTTGTGGACGAATCCATCACAGTTTATGCTCACGTTGAGCGACCAAATCTTGACCATCCCAGGCCAGAGCAGTCAAACCCGCGCCCGGGCTTGCTCGCGGCTCGCGCTCTGTGCCTATGTCTCTTCATGCGTCAGGCCGTCTCTCTTTCTTTCGCAAGGAGGGGGAGCGACCCCCACCCCTGCGCTCCGATATGGGGGAGTGTCTTGGCACAGTGCTAACACGGCAGATTCGCCGGAGCAGCTCTCTGAGAGAAAGGAACCACCTAGGGAACCAAATAGTCAGGACACGGAATGAACAGCTGGTTGCAGTTCCCTTATTTCCGCCCAGGGCTCCCAATGTTCAAGGCAAGGTGCAGCATTGATGCAAGAAGGCATAGTGTGAACTGACACTTACTTACAGCCCATCCATCATTGCAACACGAAGCTGTCTGCCAATGCTCTTCGATGATCACACTCCTCCACAAGTGCAGAAGACTGTGGCTTTGTAAGGTCTCGAGAGACCCCTGCCCGAGGGCCTATCTTATCCCCATGGCTCGCGTCTGTGCGTCCTCTTGGCCCCTTGTAAGGGAATGAAGAGGTGTGCCCCCGAGTGGACATGGGTGTACCCAGCCCGAAAACACCTTCCTAAACCATCACACACACACACTCTCTCTCTCTCTCTCTCTCTCCCTCTCTCTCTCTCGCTCTTTCTCTCTTTGGTCATGTGATAGAAGTGACCTACTACGTGTAATGCATGGCAAGCCATTAACAATCCCACAAAACGTCTAGCAAATAGGCGGAACGGAGGCTCTTCAGATCGACGGTTTGACTACATGAACGGAAAAACGAATGCAGTACATTGTAGTACGCTTCACGTCGATCTGTTGTGCCCAGCTGTAGGCAAGGCTTCTAGATTACCTTCCTGCATTCCACAAACAAGGCTCGACCGTCCCGGCTGTTGGTTTCTCTGGCACCTGATTCTGCACGACACTCCATGCATGCAGGACTCTTGCTTGCTGCCGGCTTGCGACTAACTCGTCGCGGCTTCGAAGAAAAATGAAATCCGGCACTACCAGGAGGCCATCACAGTTGAGAGTAGAGGAAAGGAAATGGAAAGGGAAGTAGAGTGCTGTGCGGCCAGCAAAACCATAAAACCATATCTCAATCAGGGGCACTCTGAAACATGTTCAGCTATGTCCGGTCGGTCGTAGCCACGTGCTTTACACCCGCTCGCAAGGCGCAGGTCCGTAAATGCCCGTAAGCCAGGCCAGGCCTTGACCGGCGGCTCTGGAGTGGGATTCTGGCCCTGGCCCGCAGCAGTCTCGGTCACAGGCCGGGGCTCCTGAGAAGGGCGCAGATCTTCCCCGCCCGGGCTGCTCGGTCGAAACCCCACACGGGTATCTAAGACTGAAAACGTGTCGTTGCAGACTTCGCCAGGCAACGGACAGAACTCAGAACTGTATGACATCGTCCTGCGGTGCCTTCCACTGAAATCGCTTCAGATGAAGCTGGAGGACCTTGCATAACGATGCATAACTTCTCCGAAGCTATGCACCAGGAGCAAACCCCAGGCGGAAGTTTGCAGTGTTTCGCAGCACAGGCAAACAAAAACGTGATGATGCTCAGCAACTGCTCAGTGTCCCATCGTTGCAAATGAAGTGCATTTGGCAGCCGTCGCAGCATGAAGCGCCTGACAAATGCCATCAGCTGAAATAATCACTCACGCATTTCGTCTACTAAACAAGATCTCTCAAGAAGCATGTGCAACTCCTTGTGCTTCTGTGCATACACAAAAATGACCTACAAGAACACAAACACACACACATATATTTATATGTATGTGTGTGCATCTCCTTCCGAAATCTAAATACTAAGTAATTCAAGCTTGGCCAAGCGCTCAACCGCTCAACACAGGATGAGTGACCATGTGGAGCGCACGTCTGAATCCAGTGCCTTTTTGAGCCTACACATAAAAACCGCGCATATCGCGCTATTTTTAGTTCAATAGATGGTCATCACAATGCTTTTCATACCAGGCCGCAGCCGGGATTTCGGTACACAACCTTGGAGAGCATACTTTATGAATTATAGTCCTGCTCTTTCTACGGTTAGGAGTGTAGATAGTAGGTTGACGTAGAAATGCCATGCCAGTGATGCCATTCTAATTGGGACCTTTGCAGGCGTATACATCATATTTACGAGTAATGTTCATCCTTCACCTTGCTTTTGACGTATTCAGTATATGAGGGCCGTAGTCGTGCTTCTGAACTTAGGCTTTGCAGATGCAGTACCCGCTTGTGGAGACCATGTTACATAAGCCATCGACACAGCTAGTAATCCCTTCCCCGGATTCAACACCCGGCCAATAAGCAAAACGGGGTTCCCCTGAACTTGGTTTTGGGGGCGTCAGTTTTTATTTAGCATTTTCACTTTGCTCCCTGCTTTATTCAAGACCCTTCCTTGGGAAGTGCGCAGACTCTGCATTCTTATGCATGTGTTCCACCCAGTAGTATACGATCGCTCTTGCAATCGTACATTCATACATATAGCCCGAAACATGGCAAAGCCGAGCACCTCAAACGTCAACGACGACACTCCCGGCCCACCCGACCCCTCCGCTAAACAAGAGAAGAGACGGTCTGCGCCGTTTTACAACGTGAGCACCAAAGAGTGTTCACATGCCCGTGACACATGAGCATGAACACCCAAATCTAAGAAGCTCCCTCTCCCTGTACACGGTAAGCCCAAAAACAGTTCGGGGATATTGAGAGGATTTCGCCGCAAGAAGATGCGCCGAAAGGTCCCTCTCATGTTGCACCAGCTAGATGCGAGAAGCATGCTTGCACCCTAGTTTGGGGCGGGGCTGAGCAGATTTCAGCAGATCTTGCCAAACCACATACCGAGCGCTCAACCCCTTCTGAACTTGCACATCGTCCTGTTCTGAAGGACGACACCAATTTGGCGCATACACTGCGCAAAGTGCCGTATTGCGCTTGCTAGCCTGTGTGCCAGCCTCCTGGTCCGCAGCAGGAGCAACATTAACAGCCAACATGCAATCAGCAGGCGCCGAAGCAGTCGTAGAGTTACCATGCGAGGGTCTCCAGGGCACGCACATCCCGGTCAGCACCAAGCCGATGGATGTCGGCCCAAACATGAGCACCAGCTAGACGCTGAATTCGAAACTCGGTCACGTTGCGCAGGTCGCGGAAGAAACCACCAAAAGTATCAGTCACAAAAGCCTCAGACATGGGAGCCAGAGGCACGCGACCAGGGAACGGGCACCCAACCTACAAAGAGCTAAGATCTTTGAGAACACATAATGTAAACTTGCAGTCAAAGGGTCCCTGCCACGCAACCAATGTTTGCTGGAGCTCATAATCTTGTCTGCAAGGAGCATCCACCCTTCGTTAATGTGTGCAAAACCTCCGTCTTGACATTTCGTACAATCTGCAACCAAATAGACAATTGAACCTGGCGAGCGACACCGACAGGGAACAACCTGGCAGGACCCTTCGTGCTGGTGGTAAGATCACGTCAGAATGAGACCGGGTTTAGCATGCACGGCAAAGCCGGCCAAGAGATGCTGGAGGATACTTACTGTATGTTCCAAGGCTTTCTGCAAGAGCACGTGGTATTCCATTCTGTGAAAGCAGTTTTGCACAACTACGTGGTCCCTACCAAAGCTGCAGGTGATTTACAGCACGCAGGCTGGACGCGAGTGGAGCAATCTTCGCTGTTCGCCGGCCGCGACTACACAGCGCTGCTAGGTCCTGCTAGGTGGGAGCCATGCCGGCTTATGCAAATGGAGGTTTTGCGCTTGGGAATCGTCGGCTCAAATAGAGGCAGCAGGGATACTGTCCAGGATGGACTTAGCGGTCTTTGGATGGATGGTAAAATGACAGTCCAGGCGATGGTCGGCCAAGAGCTCTGCCCTCATGAAACGTACGGCTAGGGCATTTTGAAACGCCGTGCGCGGCATGCAGCTTGCAGTTTGCCTGTCTGCCCCATGAGAAAGAAGGCTAAGCGTTTCAATTTTCTGTAGTGATGTCCATACACCTCGACGAAAGTGTTCCGGCTTCTCGGGTATGTAGTTACGTAGTTGTGCGTGGATGGCCCCACTTCATACCCATGATCACTCGAGGAGCTGCGCATGCTAAGGCCTGCTTCGCATTGCACTTTGCAGCTTCACTTCGACGTCTTGTGCAGCGCAATGCACATGATATGGTGCGGCACAGTTGATATTATTAAGGGCTATGTGCTGCTCGTCCTACGGTTGTAACAACTCTGAGCTGCCGTTTCACCTGCAGCATCTTCCACAGCTTGCTGTGCGATCGCTCAGATTCCGGCACGGTGCACTGCACTATTTGGTAGTTCGCGAGAGCGAACTGGGGATTGGGCTGCGCCCGACCCGGACTCTACGCCCCAAGAGAACGAAAGAGCGATATGCATATGCACGCATTTCGCAGGAAATTAGTTATCTAGGTACGTACGTAAACAGACACGCACAAAAAAAACGCATACATACACATATATATATATATAAATACAATGGGAGAAGCTTCATCTCTAAGGTGCTCCTTGCCTTTCCGCCGAATGCGAGGTGCAGCTCTCGCATCGCCAATTGTCCGCCTCCTGCAAATCACTTTGTATGGTGCCATGTGGCACACACGGCCGCTGTGCGGTAGCTGCCGCTCCCCGCCACGGATGAGAGTTTTGCCTCTGCCCGAGCGGTTCTTCTAGTAAGCATCTCACTCACTCGCTCGACTCACTCACCCTGCCAAAAGCACCTCCCTAGAATGCTCTAAAATGATCATGATGCACTATCGAATGCTACAATGCCGAATGGCATTTGGCTCAAGACTGGACAACGACTGGCTTGGTCGTATAAAGGAATTCTTGCCTGTGTGTTGTGGATTGTGGGAATATATTGATCTCGGTTGGTCATAGCTGTCTGATTGTATAGTGGAATTTTGCATGGTCGGAGCATTGGCTCTGGAGACTGGCGACAGGGAAAGAGTGAAACAGAATGGACTTCGGAACAAGGGGGATTGGAGGAGAAATCAAACTGTTCCCTCCTCCAACCCACCACGGTGAGTTGGAGAAATGGGAAGATTGGTCACAGCAGCTGAAACGATATGTTGGATTGCACAAACCAGTGCGAAAAATCTAATGGAGATGTTGAAAGAACGAATCGAATGATTGATGACGATTTGTGTGAAGCGGTCGATAATCATTTGCCGCTGTTCTCACGACTGGCTTACACGTTGGCCCAAATCACTGATGGTGCCGCACGCGCGATTGTGCGCAATGAGAATCGATTTGAGATTTGGCGCATATTGCACAAGCAGATCTCACTGCCAGAAAGAGCTAGAGCCGCGAATTTGTTGAATGAGATCATTGGCTTCCGCTTGAAAACTGATCACTTGGAGAGTGATCTGAGTGAGTTCATGATTTTGAAGAATAGACATGAGAAGACGACTGGAAGACCATTGGACAATGACCTCTTGATCACGTTGTTAGTGCAGAAGACTGTGGATCCATTGCAGCAGCACTTGCGTTTGCATGTTCGCAGCATCAGCACATTAAATGAAGCATTGGAGATTGTTTACAGTTAGAGGGGGTTTGACTGTGCCGAGTGGAAGGACTGCTGACATTCCGCCAGCGCTTATGCCAGGCAGCAAAATCGACAGCAGTGGTGCCGTAACTTCGTCCCATTCTCTGCGGTACAAAGTTTCGGCCAGTCCAATCTGAGCTTGGACCAGTGGATCGGCAACTCCAGTCGCCCTTTCGATCACTGCTTCACGATCATTCTGAACCACAGTCGTGATCAATCGGTCCAGTTCATTCCAGGCCCGGGTGATCTCGGCGCCAATCCATTCCTGCTGCGTGCCTCCCAGGGCACAGCATTCAGTGCAGCATTCGTGGCAGAGGATGCGGGCTCATTCGGCATGGTGCCCCCAGTACCAGTGATGCCCAGGGCATCCATCTGCGCCGGGCCAGATGCATTCCCATTCTCTGCCAGCTGCGGATCGGCATTCTCACTCGGGCGGACAAAGGATTCGTGCATTTTAAATCGATTCAGATCCATTCGAATTCTGTCAGTCGGGGTCATTCGAGTCAGGCGCGTGCATGGCGACCAAAGCCGTCTGGACTCCCTCAGTCTGGATCTCCGACATTGGGCGACCACTCAAGGTCGACAACTCACGAGCCAAATTCTCGCCAGTCATTGCTTCGAACATTTGTTCGGGCAGTGGCTCCATTCGCGAGCGAGCCGTTGCTGCATTCTTCAGGGCAGCAGTCTTCGGGGCCATTGCTACAGTCTAGCAAAGAGGGCGAAGACAATCTACACTCGAAGCACTCGGCAGTCGCACTAAGAAAAGCAGTCCTCGGAAACCTTTCGGGGGAAGACACATTGATCTCATTCAGCAGCATAAAGCAGTCCCTTTCGACTTTATTCTACCCTTACCTCCTTTCGGGCATTCCTTGCTCCAGTTGTTTGGGTCACCACAGAGAAAACATCCTTGTCCTTTTTCCTTTTCCTTTCATTCCTCTCATTCCTTTACATTTTCCTTTTCCTTTATATCCTTTCTGTCACTTGCCCTTTCCTTTGTACGAGAACATTCCTTTTCCTTTGAGTCCTTTTCCTTTGCCTTTGTACATTCCTTTTCCGCCTTTCATTCCATTTCCTTTCCATCCCTTTCTTCCTTTCAATGCAGCAATCTCCAGTAGGCTTGGCCTTGGCGGTCATGCCGTTTTGATCATCCGGACCAGCACAGCAATGGTCCGGCCAGCTCACTGAGAATGTGAATGTCCTCGCTGGGGATCAATGCCGAGGTGGATGGCCCGAACAACTGGATGATTGAGTCCAGCTGAGTCACAATGACCAAGGCGGAGAGACTGCTCTTCACGAAGGGGAATGGGCATGTGGAATGGAAGTCTCCTCCCCATGCCCAGGAGAATGCCATGGACCAGCTCGTGAATGTCTACGACTGGCTGTGCTTGCCACTGAGCAAAGCACTGAACTTGCTCAGCAATGGATGGCTTGATTTGAGCCGATTTCCTTGCCATCAGCTGAACGGTTCTTTCAATGCACTGTCAGCACTGCGTAAGACTGTGCACTGGGAAAGCCAAGGTGTGTTCGATGAGAATGAGAATGATTGTGGAGCCCATTGCATTCCTTGTGTTCCGGCGCTCGAAGCTGGACGCAGTGTGGAGGTGGACTGGAGCTGGGAGTGGAGCCCCCAGCTCCTCCTGAATGAAAGTGTCGAATTATTTTAACAGACAATTCACCGAATAATTCACCGATCATATCGCCACCCACGGATGGACTGGGACTGGAGATCACCAATGGCGATGGGCGGTGAATGAGCCTGCACTGCCGTCAATGGCATTGTGCGAGTGCCTTTGAGTGACCCAATGTGTCGCCCGAGCCCAAAGCCGAATGGGCAGATCCTCCTCTGCCTGAATGAGATCGTGGAATGTGGAATGATTGCCACCACGACTGGCCGCAACCTTGTGGAGTGGCGACTGATGGGGCACACAATGCCGCTGAGTAAGGCGATTGGTGGTAACTGGCGCACGACTGTTCCACCTGGGAAGAGATCTATGAAAATGAAGAGTATCCAGACAATGCCTGGAATGATCCATCCAAGGCGAAGGGCTCGAATGATCGCACCCCCGCCAGTGTGCTGGCGATTGCCCAGACCGCGAATGCTCTCGAGCCCTGCGCGGAGAGTGTCCTTCGGAAGAATGCCATGAGATGGCACTGAGCAGGCGAATGATTTTCTTTGGAGTGCCCCTTGCGACTGCAACTTTTTGCAATGTGAAGTTTATGTTGACATGTTGAATGGATGTCTGCTGTGGATCGCAGGGAGTGAAATTCTTGGGTTCAAGATGAATGAGGCATGAGCCGGCTGTCTGCATGCTTGCAAGGTACAGTGCAAATTCCTGAGCCGAGCCAAGAGTTACTAGAATGTAGCCGATGTCCTTTTGCATCTTTGATTGCCACTGTTCCTAAGGTTCATTGATCGCTTCGCGAATATTGGCATGGAGTTGCTTGTGATGTTTAAATGCTTGAACGATCCTCGACTAAAGTCAGGATCAAGGGACTGTGTTAAATGACCACTTCCCTAGATCCCGAGAATGCTCTAGAATGATGATGGTGCATTGTCGAATGCGACAATGTCGAATGGCATTTGGCTCCGCATAACTACAAGGGCCGGCACGCCTCGGCTCTCGCTGAACTTTAATTGCTCCTAAACGTCCTCCCGTAATTTCGACAGTCACTGCTGCCTCCAAAGCCTCCTCGCGGCAGAAAGTCTCCAGGACACTTGCCAGGGACGCCTTCGGACCGAGGGGGTCTTACCGACACGGTGTATATACATACACAGACACATGTACAAATATATATATATATATATACATACACATATTTATACTTATTATATTTCTTTGTTTATATACATATATATATACACACATATGTATATATATATATACACATACGTGTATATTTAGATATACATGTACACATCAATAATTAAAATAAATATCCTATATATGTAAATATGAGTTGTACACACACACACACACTGCTCTAGCTTCTAAGTGCCGTCTCCTCAGAGAGAGAATCTCGTGAATGTGACACCCTAAGCCCTAGCGTGTGCCACCCTTCCGGTGGGAGGCAGCGGCAGCGGCAGCGACCAGAAGGAATCGCACGTCTGATTCACGCCTGATGCAAACGTATGAAGGACGGCCGTCATGCCCAGACCCATGAGTTTCATCGACTGTGACACTACTCTCAGACAGCCACGTGCAAAGGCATGTTAGGTGAGACAGCGCCCTCGGCAACCGTAGGCAAGGACAACTCTGGGCCTTGGCAACCGCTGCAGCCTCAAGCTTGAACTGCTCTGTCGGAGCTGGAGTGCTCTTCTTCATTCTTCTTTGCTTACGACTTTCCTGGTACATAGTATCCACGTAGTCTTTATTTTGAACCCTGGTCACAAGTACATGTCATGTACTTGGCAAAGAAGCATGTGCAGGCGCACTTGAGAATCATGCTGGGTTTCAGCTTGGTGACGCACTTCTGAACAGAGCTGTCCTGGAAGGGACAGCATCGGGTGTTTATCTGCTAGCTGCCGTGCCTGAAAGAGTATCCCCGTGTCCTTCAAGGATTTCCGAGACCAGAGAAGGGCCTGCAGCAGAACTAACAGCATGTGGCATGTGACGAAAAACGCAGAGGGAGTTATGGGAAAAGGCGTCGCAGAGTTCAGCTCTGTGTGGATGGCCCAGCCGAGCTTCAGAGGTCTGGTGTCTGTGGGAAGCAGATCGCCTTCTGATGTTCCCTTCCCTGGTTATTTCGGCCTGCTGCTTCTTGGCTGTCCGTCAAGTCGCGGTCCAAGGCTTCGAGCAGGGCCTCCAGGTATGGAAGTGGCAGATTGTAGCCGGTCAGCCTGAGGAATAGTCTTATGCTGCCTGCAGAAACTCTTGTGCATCCTGCTGCGAGCTGCCGGCAAAAATCTCGTTGCTGGCCTGGGCTGCGCCAAAAAGGCTTTTTCCTAAAAGCACAGTAGCGATTGAACACTCTGGCCACTGAAACAGGTACGAGATCATTTTTTTTATCAAGCGTCGCTCGAGGCTGAGATGCAAGCCTTGAGCTGCCCTGCAGGCCAACGGACACATTCGCTGGGAAGACCACAGGCGCCGCAAGTGCAACTGGAGCCCTAGACTCCTAGAGACTGAACTGAGGAATCACTGCAGGAGTCAGTTGACACCCAGCATCATCCCACTATATAATGAAGTTTGCAGCTAATTGGAACGTCAGAGTTTCCCAGATATCATCGCCGAACCTCCCTTCCGGTCCTGGCACAGCAGGCTCTGCTGTAGAGGCGCTCCAGAGGCTGCGAACCGTGGCCAGGAAGGCGCGGGAGACGGCACCGAGCTTGGGCAACAGCGGGATTCACGGAAGCCAGGTTGGGCGTCGGCCGTTATGTTTCGTTGTCAGGGCTATCAGGCACGAGCTTTTGTGGGCACATGGACGGGAAGAAGAGCAACATGGAACAACATGTCCATTAACACGACAGCAAAACCACACAGTCGATTCGGGACGGGAGAGTCGCTGGCTGCCAATGGCCTGAATGCATCTGGATGGCTTAGCACGGATGATAATTTAAGTGGAAGGCATGAATAAAAGTCGGATGTCTTGCGGCCAGCTGTGGGTCTTTGGGGATTGGACCCTTCAAACCCTATTGGCACCGCATCCCCACCCTAGAGCACAGGTGCAACCACGGAAAAAGCTGTAGCGCGTTGTGCGAAATGCTTACAATCCTCTACCCTCGAAGGGCCCTACTGCAAACCGGGTCCGGATGTCGCCTGGGCGCGGTCTGCGTCTCTCTGCAGGCTCTGCAGCAAGGATGCAGTCTGTGAGAGGCACTGCACGGCACTGTTGAGATAGCCTCACATGGCAGCGACCGAAACGGATCTGTCGGAAGCCCATAGGCCAGCAGTTACAGCAAGTTGCAGGTGTTGCCCAAGTTCCGCAGTCCGAGCAGGCCCCGCTGATCCTGTAGGTCACAACTTGAGATGCATCCTGCCTCCGGTCTACTGAGCTTCCGAGTTCGTGGGAAGCTAAGCGGCCAAAATACATCCTGAACTTGGAAGTGCTGCCAAATTCTCGAATAGCCATACCTTATCTTTGGGCTGAAGCTTTGCCATAAACTGGCCGCACTCCTCGGCTTTGCTTGGCAGTGGAGGCGCAGCCAGACCCCGAGCGGCCTCTGTGTCCTGTTCACTGAAGGTGTACGGCGCCTATTTTTAAACACCCGGACATTTAAACAGCTTAAACAGATCATTTGCACTAGGTCTAACAGCAGTGGCATTGGGCCGCCCAACTTTAAAACATCCGGAAGTCTTCTTTCCGTCCCC